CCCCGCCCCGTCTCAATGTCCAAGCAGTCAGCAAAGCGGCAGGTCCTGACCCCGCCCTGTCTCAATGTCCAAGCAGTCAGCAAAGCGGCAGGTTCTGACCCCGCCCCGTCTCAATGTCCAAGCAATCAGCAAAGCGGTAGGTCCTGACCCCGCCTCGTCTCAATGTCCAAGCAATCAGCAAAGCGGCAGGTCTTGACCCCGCCCCGTCTCAATGTCCAAACAGTCAGCAAAGAGGCAGGTCTTGACCCCGCCCCGTCTCAATATCCAAGCAATCAGCAAAGCGGCAGGTCCTGACCCCGCCTCGTCTCAATGTCCAAGCAAACATTAGTATTTACCACTTCACCCCCAATTCATTTCCCATTCAAGTATGATTTCAGTCAACCATATATAACAATATGTGAATTTGCATACCATTCTTTTAACTTCAATCTGATTTCTCTCCTTAATGAATCAAGCAAAAGCCAAAGTAGGGATTCACATATACGTAAGCAGTCAAACTAGAGAGTCGTACAGATAAAGGAATATACTGGGTATATAGAAGGTTCAAAATGGTTACCTCTTAGTTCCCTGCCTCCAGGATTCCGCCTGAACCCCGACAGAGCTCCCGCAATCGGTAGGGGGTGAACCTCCCCCTCAGAGGTCTCGATGCGGTCTGTGGGTTTCAATCCCACTAGCCGCCTTCCTCTCCCGAACCCCAGACTAGATTGAGAGGAAGAAGGGTAGAAAAAGTAAATTCAGTCTCTCAAGTTTCCAGAGGGGTCACTCAGACTAGCGTGGAGAAGGCCTTGTTACCTTCAGATCCTGAGGGCCCAGCAATGGCGCCCAAAGTCGTTGAGCTCGAAAGTTTGTGAGTCACAGATGCCGCGGCAGAATCTCAGCAACAACATTGGTTGCACTGGTTGCAGCAGCGCAGCCTCCTATTGCTCAATTAACCATACGCCCAGTCCGCGGAAAAAGGCAATTGCACTGACTCGTCAAAACCTGCAGTCCGAGCATGAGTCTCAACGCCCTGGTAGCAGCACCCTGATGCAAGAACCAGTTGGTACCGAGCAGCTGCAACATCCATCTAGCGGAAAGTGGCAGCAATCCGTTTTACTGTGGCGACCACACTCAGTTGCTCAATCAACAACGGTACTTAGGAGCACAACAGTAACATTGATAGAGAACACGACAACAACAAATCTTGGAATACGCAGTGCCACAATGGCAAGTTTGAAGGAACTCTCAGCCTGTCCTTCCTCGTTCAAACCAACCGTTCCACCATCAGCCCAAAGCACAAAGGTTTTACCGCCAGTAGTAGTTTGACACCGCAGCAGCCTCGTCAAAAAGTAGCAACACAAGTTCAACAGTCTGTGTGCTTCACTGCT